GGGTACTGAGAGTTGTGGTGGAAGAGCTCACCAGGCCCCTTGGCATCATTTCTCATCAGTGCTGGATAGCCTTGGAGGTCTAAGACAACTGGAGGTCAGCCCATGTGGCACCCATCCACAAGGAAGGCTGGAAGGAAGACCTGTATAACTACAAGCCTGTCAGCCTGACCTCAGTGCCTTGGAAGGCTATGGAACAGATCATGGGTGTGATCACATGGTATACATAGTACAACCAAGAGACTAGACCCAGCCAGCATGGGTTTAGGAAAGGCAGGTCCTGCCTGACCAGCCTGATCTCCTTTTATGATCAGGTGGCCTGTGTAGTGGATGAGGGAAAGGCTGTGGATGTTGTCTCCCTGGACTTCAGCAAAGCACAGCATTCTCCTGGAGAAGCTGGCAGCCCATGGCTTGGACAGGTGTGCTGTTCATTGGGTTAAGAACTGACTGGATAGCTGAATCCAGAGAGCAGGGGTGAATGGTGCCACATCCAGTTGGTGGCCAGTCACTAGTGGTGTTCCCCAGGGCTCGGTGCTGGGGCCAGCCCTATTTAATATCTATTGATGATCTGGATGACTGTACCCTCAGTAAGTTCATGGTTGACACTAAGTTGGGTGGGAGTGTTGATCTGATAGAGGGTCGGAAGGCTCTGCAGAGGGATCTACACAGGCTGAATTCATGGGCCAAGGCCAGTAGTATGAGGTTCAACAAGACTCAGTATTGAGTCCTGCACTTTGGTCACAATGGCAGAATGGTTGGAAAGCTGCTTGTCAGGAAAGATCTGGGGGTGCTGGTTGACAGCAGCTGAACATGAGCCAGCAGCATGCCCAGGTGGCCTGTATCAAAAATAGTGTGGCCAGCAGGACCATGGAAGTGATTGTCCCTCTGTACTTGGTACTGCTGAGGTTTCACCTAGAGTACTGTGTCCAGTTTGGGGCCCCTCACTTCAAGAAAGACGTTGAGGTGCTGGAGCAAGTCTAGAGAAAGGTAATGAAGCTGGTAGAAGCTCATATAAGGAGCAGCTGAGGGAGTTTGGGTTATTTAACCTGGAGAAGAGGAGGCTCAGGGGTGACCTTAGCACTGTTCTACAACTACCTGAAAGGAAGGTAGCAAGGTGGGGGTTGGCCTCTACTGCTAGGCAGCTAGGGACAGGACAAGAGGACATAGCTTGAGGCTATGCCAGGGGAGGTTCAAATTGGACACAAGGAGGAATTTCTTCACAGAAGGGTTTGTTAAACATTAGAATGGACTACCCAGGGAGGTGGTGAAGTCACTATCCCTGGAGGTGTTCAAGAAACAACTGGATATGGCACTTAGTGCCATAGTCTAGTTGACAAGTTGTTGATTGGTTAAAGGGTGGGTTTGATTATCTTAGAGGCCCTTTTCAACCTAAATAATTGTGATAACTGCCTTATGCTAAGGATTGAATTGATAGCCAGTTTTTCACAACTGTATCAGATGGGTCAACCACAGGTGAAAAACCTCTCAATATTCCCCGGGTTTACTTAGAGTAACGAAAGAGTTAAAAAAACCCCAATCCAAGTCTGCTCTTCTGTGGCTTTCATAAATATTCTGGATTTTGCTCTTTCAAATATGATTTCTAAGGGCAGATGTGCACTGAGTTGCTCCTATGTAGCTAAACTATAAATAACAGTAATAATTTTTTAAAACAGTATTTTGCAGAGAGAACTTGCATATCCCTAATTGAAATGCTTAAAGTGTAAACATGGGTCTGAAGCTTGTTTTAAAAAATATATTTTGGAAATGTTGCCTTGTCTCAAATGAAAGTAAACCCAGTGCTATTATGTGATGCTAAATTAGTGCCATACCGTGCTTATGTATGACCCAGTCTTCTAGCAGTTGCAAAAATGAACGCTGATGTTAGGACATGAGTATGTTATCTCTTCCTTCTCTCAGGCACAGCTGTTGTCTCTTGTTTTTTTCAAAAAAGCATGCAGTGAAGGCAATGAAATCCTAGTGTTTTCCAGGGTTAATTTCCAGATGGCAGGGAGGAACACAGAAGCACTGTTCAAAGATACAGCTGGGAAGCTATTAATTTATCCAATTTGTTATTTGTTAATATTTGGAATAGGGGGTGAAGCAGAAATAGTAGAAAGAACTTTTGGAAGTGAAGGAGGAAGGATGGGTCTTTGATTAGAAAACTGCTCAGAGCAGAGTATTTCCTCTAGAGCTACCCTAGGTCTTTGGCAGAGAGATTTTCCTGTCTACAAAATTAAAATGCTTTGCCCATCCTGTCATTATTCATTATAATTTTTGCCTGTTTTGGGGACTACTATGTGGTAGATGATCACTGCTTAGTACAGTGAGCTCTCTTGCCTTAAGCACACATACGTAAGGATAGAGGATTTGGGCAAAATGTATTCCCTGGGTTGCTGCCTGTTTTGTGTGGTTGAGAAATGCTTCACATGTACTGAAACGGGCATGTATTATCCTTCTATAGTCAGTATTTAAGTGACATGCTTTTTCAACTCAACATACCCCACAAAACTGGGAGGCTTTGCACTGCTTTAGAAAAGAAGATTATTGCTGGTTAGGAGGATGATATTAATTTGAGATGAGAAGAATAATTTTAGCTACTAGGTGAAAAAGTGAGGATGACATAATCCTTTACTCAAGGAACTAAATGAGACTAGCTGCAAGGACAAATTTTTTTTATATCAGTAAGCAATATAGAAGAGCCCAAACACTATTTTCAGATCTGCATATGAGGCTTTCACTAATTTGTCAAAGTGAAACTTGCTCTGAATATTTAAAGCTTGTGTAATCTTACTCCCAGTGCTACATATTTACTGATTTCTGGAAAGACGGTTCAGATGTCCTGGAAAATGCAAAGGGATTTTTTGTTTAAAGAAACATTGACGTATTCTTAATATTTACATTTTTACTGGCTAGCTATAACAGTTCTTCCAGAAATATTTGCACCATAAGTGCTTACAGAAAACATTTCAGGGTTAGAATTTGAAGGTAGAAGTAACTTGAGGAATCTGTGGGCTTCTCTGTTTTTCTGGGTCATGCTTCTCTTGTTTTGAGGCAAGGTAGCTGTAGAGTCTCAACTTCAAGTAAATGCTGGGTGAGTGGGTGAATGAACAAGGTTTACATTTAATTATGTTAAAGAAGGGACTAGGAAAATCTTCATCTATTAGAAAACTCCCTGTGTCAGTGCAGGTAAAGAGCAAGTTTTAAAATTCAGTTCCTGTAAGCATCTGAATTTCACATTTGGAAATTGCTTTTTGTCTATTTCTGCAGAGAATTATTAATTCAGGTGAATGCAGATGCATGAACAAGGCTAAAGCAAATCAGCTCTGAAACTTATGATATTCCTTGTGGTTTGGTTGGGGTTTTTTTCAATCTGGCAATCGGTGTAGTCAGTCTGTAGTTAATGTAAAAGCAATGATTTTACATTAAAAGTATTCTGAGTTTGTGTAGGAAGGGATCATTTATGGTGACAACACCCCCTCCACTCTTTTTTAAAGCTGTAAACTGTGAGTGGAATGCAGATGACTTCTCTGTACAAAAACATATTGATAAGAATGTAAAATAAAGCAAAAAAAAACAGGTGAGGCAAGCTCATACTCTCAGTCCTTCCATGTCAGAACAAAATTAAATTACTAATTCTCTTTGGAGAAGAAAGCTAGTATTAAGTTTGGTGGATTATTCAACATCTGTTTAGTGTATATCTCATCACTTAGCTGGATGTTATGCAGATTCATTAGTCTAGAAGAATGTGACTGAAGTTTAAAAGTGAAAACACTGCAGTGTGTTGAAGCAGACTTCTCCCCACTGTTGTTCTACTTATATTTTATCTCACCAGCTTAGAGGCTGAGCAGGAGGAGATGTGTTTGAGTTTTGATTTGCATGCAGCCTAATAGTCTTTTCAGCCTTCCAGCTGTCTCTAGCATGAATGCACATATTTTTCAAGAGTATTTGTCTCCACTTCGGTTTTGATCAACGATTTCTTAGTAAATGGAAAACTTGCAGAATGGGTGAGAATTCTACAGTTTTATTAATTTCTAGTGTATACTGAGAGAACAAATGGTACATTATATTCCCTGTTTTGCATACATCTTTGGGATGATCTCCTTTCTTGCAAAAACTAAGGTGCCTGTTTAAAAGAAGAGGTATTCAGATCTGACAAATTATGCTCCAGAAATCTTGGGCATACTATGATGATGAAACACTGACCACTTTGCATAATTCATCGAGATTTGTGTTATTTCTGCTCTGTCTCCTAGAGGTTGGAGAACTTCATTAATTTTGTATCAGAATAAAGGACATAACCACATTTGAAATGCAGAATCTTTGCAACTAATAAATGAATCAAGTATGGAGAACTGAAATAATCTGTGTTGCTGCTGCTTCTATAGATATTCATTATTGAAGTATAGGAGTGATTTATGTGTGAGAGGGAAGAGCAAGCTTTTATCTCATAGCTGGTATGAACCCAGGAAGTCTTGATACAGAGATCCTGGAAATTTACATTATACATGATTTCCCTTTGACTCCTCCATATTTTGGCTACTGATCTTTTCATCTCTGTCACAGCAGGTTTTTTTAACATGCCTTGCATTATTCAGCTCTTCTTTCATCTGTAAGTAATGTTTAAAAAGGAAAGATCCTTTAGCACTTGAGAAATGTAATAATTTGATTACAATGCTTATTTAGATTAACTTCTTTCTATTCTAGTCCTGATATTTAAGACTGCTAAAGTGACTCTTCTTCATTGTCTATTATGTTCTCCTTTATGAAGAATCCCTTAAATAACTATAATTTAAGCTGTTACGTATAATTTTTGCATTTCAAGGTGGGCCTTTTAATTTCTTTGTGTTATTTTGTGGCATTTATAAATTACTTTTTTGGTGATCACTCAGCTCTGTGTGGTTAAATACCTTGAGTGAATGTGGTATTGGTGAAAGAGAGTATGTTGTTTACAGTGTTTGTTTCTGTTACATGCAACAATTATTCCTTAATGGTACCAATTCCAGCTTTGGTAGGCCAGGAGTTGAATGCTACTGCCAACATGACAGTGGAGCTGCAGTAATCCAGCTTCAGTTCCTGATTAATGAGGTTAGTAAAATGATGTACATGCAATTCACAGAAGGTACAGAGTGTATTTTGTGTAATTTCTCATTAAGCAAGCATTAAAATTGGCTAATACAAGTGACTTAGCATGAATGGCAAGCAGTAATAACAATTATAAATAAATTAACTTTTTTAGTTTTAGAAAATGCTTGACTGACTGCTGAAAATATTGTTGTCCCTAGAGTATTCTTCTGCTATAAGCAAGAATTTCCTAGGTCTGTTTTTCATGTCATTGAACATTGCAAGTTATCTCTTGAAGTGGTGAAGTACTTTTTCAACAGTACTACCAGTTTCAGTAGATAGCTAATTGTATTTTGATAGAGTTACTGTTTTGAACATGAGCTGAATAATGTTCCCTCAATTTCAGGTGTATGTTTCTAGGGATGTAGCAGCTGAGGTCTGACAGCAGTGCTGTTTTTGAGCTAGGTAGGGACAGATTGGTAGAGGGACCTCAGTAGCTTTGTCAGCACATAGAGTTCATTGCTTGATTTCTCGACGGAGATGGACATGAGGGAACTGATGTGCACATACTGGAAAGCTTCTCTTTCCTCATCACCTCTCAGTATAGCACTGAACCAAAAGTGAGCAAGCTGAACAACATGTGATCACTTCATGTATCTCATTCCTTCTACTTAAAACTTATTTGTGGCATGATTTTGATGGGCATGCTTATAATTTTTTTCATTCTGGTAATAAATACATAATGTATTTCCACTACAATGATAGACTGTTACTAGGGTTATGAAAACCAGTTGACTAAGACTTTTTCTTTCTCATAGGGAGCTCTTGTGAGTGCCTTGGCTGATGATACCTTACACCTGTGGAACTTGCGTCAGAAGAGACCTGCTATACTGCATTCACTCAAATTTAACCGAGAACGGTAGGGATTGATTGGGGTGTTAGTGCATTGCTCCTTAGCATCACTCTATGTGCTAGTTTAAGGTCAGAATCCAATTAGTATCCTGCTAAATAATCAAAAACTGGATTTACACTGGATTTGAATTAGCCTGTTAGGGATTGCGAGTAGACACACTAGTGACCTAAACTGAGATGACATTTCTATCACTTCTACATGTTGCATTGCTGAACATCAATTTTTGCATCTTCAAAATGTGGAGGGATGGAATACTCTGTGTACATCTTCCAAGGAATTTTGGAACAAGAGGAAGTGTGTGCCACCAACAAGACAACAGGAAAACTAGTTCAATTTTTTACCTGGGAGTTTTTTCCCTCTTGATGACAAATTAGAATTCTGCAATGTTAAAAGCTCCTGCGTGTATTAGAGAAGCTGAAAATGACTTGCATTTTGGCTAACAATTTTGAGACTCAGGTAACAGCATTGTAAGCAAACTAGGGAATCATTTAAGATTAAATTTCTAAAGGTCAGCTGATTAAATTTCTGGAAGAAAATATCCTTTTTTTAGTAGCAAGTGGTCCTTCCCTTTTAGGAAGTGTCCCTTCTTTTCTGGTTTGTCTGAAGTCTCAACTGGAATGCTGTGTGTGCTTTTGAGCAGCATGTCTTAGAGATATACTTCTTGGGGAGCTCAAAGGATGCTAGCAAGAACACAGAATAATCTGTGACTTGTATCTCTGTTGAGTAGGGCAGGAAGTAATGAGCTTGAAGTAATGGGTAGCAGTAGTCAGAGGCTTCTAACATACTGTCATACAGTGCTAAACAGACTGTTGGGTGGGTTATGGAGTAACTTTGTAGTTTTAACAAGCAGATAATAAACAAATTTGTCAGGAATAACATAAATGGAGATTAATGGGGGTTTTTTTGGGTAGAGGATTAAGCAATACTAAGTTCCTTTGGAAGTTCTTAGTGTGATCACTGCATAAACTTTTTACCAGGGCCCATAGGGATAGGGCAAGGGGTAATAGCTTTTAACTGAAAGAGGGTAAATTTAGATAGGGTATTAGAAAGAAATTCTTCACTGTGAGCGTGGTGAGACACTGTAACAAGTTGTCCAGAGAAGTTGTGGATGCCACATCCCTGGAAGCATTCAAGGACAAGTTGGATGGGGCTTTGATCAACCTGTTCTACTGAGAGATGTCCCTGCCCACAACAGGTGGGTTGGACTAGACAGTCTTTAAAGGCCTCTTCAGACACTAACCATTCTGTGATTCTAAACTGTTACACACTAAACAAAAAGCTCTGACAATGCAAAATTCTGCCCCAAGGGTGTGACAGTGTTGCTTTATGCAGCATAAAAGTCAAATGGACACAAATGCAATTTACAACCTAGTTTAATGAAGATTGTCCAAGTGTAGGAGATACAGTGGTGTATCCAAACTGAATTTTCTCCCTGTCCCTTCCCCCTTTTTGCTTTAAAAGACTTGTCTCTTACTTGTAGCACCTACCTAAGTGTCAGTGTAAAATTTGGATTCACACTTAGACGTTAGCTGACTAATGTTTTAAAATACGTATGCGATACTAGAAAGAAGAGTGGGGGTGGAAAGGTGTCTAGGTCACTGATGTCACTTTAGTGGCTGTATTAGTTATTAATTTTGGACAAAGTACTGTTTTTTTCTGGGAAAACCTGTGGCTTGCTAAGGTAGGTAACGAGCACCATAGTTACCATGACTGGTGAAAGCATAGTTGGAGCCAAGGGCTTATTCTTCTAGTAATTTTAATTTAAAAATACTCGTCATAATAACATATGAAAGTAGCCAGAACACTTTAGATCTCAGATCCATGCATTGTCATAGCCCTTTAAGTCATGCTGGATGACTGTTACCTGTTTCCAAATATTCTGTCTTTTTTTGGCTAGTTTATTAAATGCAGCTTTATAAAATAAAGGGTCATCTTATTACCTGGGAATTATTTTGATTAGAACTTGAGAGAATTGTAAGAAATTCCCTGTTGAAGAGTTCTAAATAAGGACCTTTATAACACTGAGTTCTTAATAGTTAATTACACCTAATAGTCTCAATGTAGTTTCTTTGTCATCTGTATATAAATATCCTAAATATAAAATTGTAATGCAAGCCTCATGTCGTATTTGTTTTGACTTAGTAGTAAATATTAATGTTAGGCTAGGTTAGCTCTGAAATAAGTGTAGTTAACACATCTTATTAGAGAAAATATTGAAAGCATGTTGTGAGACAGATACCTAATGTGACCTAGTTTCCTGCCATACAGGAACTGTTAAGCTTGGTGCTGATACATGTTTGACCTTTCACACCTTGTATCACTAACCAGCCAGGGGATTTCTCAGATCCTGTTTAAGAGCGGGCGGAGTGACAGACTAAATTGATTTTTAAAAAAAGACAAATAGTGTGGGATGACAAATTTGAGACTTCTTTGCTGCAAACCAAACCAATCAGCTTTATATACAAGTGTAAAAATTTGTTTCGTTATCCTTCTTGAGCTGATACTCTCTGTTGGAATGCCAAAATAAATAGTTTACTTGTCTTTATGCGAAGTCACAAGCAAAAATCAGAATCATGGCATAAAAATAGAATTGTGTTTAGTTCAAGTGCTCTGCATATCGATCTATGAGTGCATTGATAGCAGTTTAATTTTTTAATATGTCGACTTCTGTGCTGTGGGATTTAAATAGTTTTCCTCAACATGAAACTGCATAATTCAGAGTTACAAAATTATGCTTACAATATCTCTGGCTTTTTGTCCTGCTGTAAACAGCAACTTTAGCATTATGCTTGGAACACAAACTGTCTACAGAGTGAAAAAATCCCACTTGTATTTACTTCTTACTTACAAGACTTTCAACTTCTGCTGACACATGTGCTACCTTGTTAGATACTGTAACTGTGTCCTCAACCTGCACATTAGCAAAGGTTAGTTGTTAGATAATTTTCTTCCACCTCATTGAATTTATAAACTGACCAATTCTGCCACTTTATGGATGGCAGAAGGACATACAGGTTTTCTTGCCTGTGAGAGCAGGTGATGATAGGCATTGTTTGTGGGGTTTTGGCTGTGGTTTTTTCTTCCCCTTTCTCTGTATCAATATCACTGTTTCACTCACAGCCTTTAAGGACTGGCTTTTCCCCTTTTGCAGTAGATATGAATGTTTCTTTCACAAATACCAAATTCTTTTGATAAATCTTGTCTTGAGGCTATGCATGCAGAGTTCCACATGCCAGTGTGGTTGATGGAACTGCAGTTGCATCAGTTTGCTTCTGCTGCCTTTGGCACTGAGGCAGAACCAAAGTGCTGAATCATGTTACTCAGAAATTTCAGATTGCTAAGAAGCAGCTTTTAAATTGCCTCCATTGCCCTGTTAGCCCTTTTCCTTTTGCACTGACTTTCACAGTGGTATGAGGCATATAATGGCCAACTGCCATATTCCTGGATAGAATGTGACCTTTAGTCTTTAAGCCCTGCCTGTCTGACAGACTTCTCCATCAGTGATGGGCATAATTTTTCTGTCTCACATGGGAAAGCTACGTCTCTGACTTGGCCATTCTCTTTTTAAGTTAGAGTTTGCCTTTTGAGGCAACTGATTTGAAAACTAAGAAAATTTTTCAATACTGAAGGAATTCATACCAAATGCCTTAAAGATCTGAGGATTTCTTACCACTGACTAAATCTCCTGCACTGCATATTTGTGAACTGCTGTTGGTATATCTGACATGGCACAAAAAGTAACCAGACTATTGCCATCGTAAGACACTTGAGTAGCTTGCTCTAGCACATGCTTACCCATTACTCCATCTTGACACCACTAGTGTCTGCCACAACTCAGATGCTGAACATAGGTACTTCTCAGCTGCCTTAAGGGGAAGCTGTTCAAGTGAACATATTTGGAGAAGCACCATTTGGAGTGCTGCTACGGGACATAAATGGAATAGAAGTACCTGTTTCAGTTCCAGTGATATACTGGATTTACCCACATGGTCTTTTGATGGGAAAATTCTGGGATGCATTGAAGAAGAATTCTTCCTCTGCATTTGCCTTCTCGTCTCTGAGGCCTGTTTTTGTACAGGTAAATTTACTGGAGTTACCAGATCTGAAAAAAAGACCCCTTGCAGCAGTCTGGGATAATCATAGCCACTGCTTGTTTCCATCAGTGTGTCATTCTGACATTGGCTCTTGGCGTTTTAAACCCATTGAAGACTTAGACAAGAGACCATGGACATGGAGTCTATACTGACATAAGAATTTAATTTCTCAGCTTCTGCATTTTGCATGGTGACTATCATGCACGAAAGGTTGAAGATAAAGGTGTGCAGAATAGAACTTTGCTAGCTTAATGCTTTTATTAGAAAATTTTAATTTTGCTTATACAATAAGGATCTGAGCAGTTAGTGCAGTTTGCTGTAACAGCAGACCTGTAGTGATAGCCTGAGGGTGCTAGAAATAGTTCTGATGACTTAAAAATGAAACCTGTTATCAGTGTTTGTCATACTTCAAAGTATTTGTCACTCTGCTTTGTTAAAGCAGTGGAAAATTCTGAAGAACATATAATGCTTTATAATGCAGTAGACTAAGGAAAGGTAAAGATGAATTTAGAGGGATTTCTGTTGTCATAATAATGCAGTCAAGATCACAGCCTGTCATTTTCACTTAAGATTTCTCTTAAAAACATAATTCTTTGACTTACATATTAATTTAATAAGTTGTGTTCTTTAATATTTCTGTAAGTAAACTTCTCTAGGGAATACTGTCATTTGCTGTAATAATTATTGAGATATATGTTGTAAAACAACAATAGTTACGATTTTTTGTGAATAACTGGCAGATTATCAGAAAAGACACATGGATTGCATATAAGAAAAGGAATCCTTTCAGTAGGTTTACAAACGACTTTAAAGATTCTCCTGTCATTACTGTCCCATAAGTAATATCACAAGTTATATTTTAATTACAGGGAGAGCAACAAATATTTTGTGAGGGTTTTTCTTTTACCATTGTTTTTCACTGCTGGTGTACCAGTGGGTTTTCTGTATGTAATTTTGTTTTCTTGAACTATTGGTTCAACTCTTACAAATTCATTGCACAGGAAAGTAAAATGTTTGGGGTGGGGTTTTATTTTGAGGAGGGAAGGGTGAGGAAGGAGGAGTGGCTTTGCAAATATGCATGCAGTCAGAAGGAAGTTTTTGTGCTTACAGAAAAGTACAGCTGCAGTAGAGTTTAAAACTACCCTTTGAGCTTGCATAAGAGTACCTCATTTTAGTGGTGATGTTAGTATATACTAAAATCATACTGTAAATTTCACACTGGAAAAAAATAAATCTCCTCAAAGCACTGCTTTTTTTTTTTTTTTTTTTTTTTAATTCTCTAGAAAGGGATCTTTTTTTTTGTGCAGACATGGGAAAGTGAAATATTTGGAATGAAGTGCTGTGCCCAAGAATTGCATTATGCGAAAAGTTTGGTCCACTTCACAAAATGTACTGCACTCACTGAGGTAGCTGGAATTGCCTTGGAGATAACATGAGGATTCTGTTGTACCAATAAAGGAACTGTCTGCAAAAACCTGCTTTTTGTGATCACTGGCTCAGACTGTCTCAGGCTCTCTCTTCAGTTGCACAAAACTGGACTATTATAAATCATAGATTACTTGTCTTGTAGTGCTTTTGGCCAGAGTGGCTTGCTACAGGAGAAGCGTATGGTACTCTGCTTTGGACTGGTACATTGCTTTCAGACAGTTTGTGTTAGTGTGCAAGAAAGGTTAGAGATGCAAGAATTTTGTGCTAGTCTTTTGGTGAGTTCTCAGCAATTGATTATATTTTTCACTTTTATGTACGTACTCATTTGTGGGTAGGGAGAAAAGGGGAAGAGTCCTCAAGTTGTAGAAATGGCTAGAGCATGGTATGGGCACTTAAATTTCTGTTAATCTCCAAATATGTTATGGATGAAGCATGTTATTCTAGTCTTGTGGCAGAAAGACAGGTTTCTGAAAGAAAAATCTGCATCTTTCACAAAAAAAAGTAAAATATATGTTGTCCTTGCCCAAGTGTCATATTAGGAAGTATCGCATCAGTACCAAAAAGAGTCTGACCTTTGGTTTCCATCCTCCAAAATGAGTTTGAATCCTTTTAATCCTTGGACCAATTCTCAGCACAGCAAGCAAGGCCACTGAATGCAGTCTGTATTGGATAATAGTATGTCATTACTGCCCCTTCAGATGGCAATAGCTTCACTGATTTTTTTGGTTTTAAGATGACTGTAACATTCCTACAGCTGTTTAAAATCTACATGGTTTAAGGTGAAGCCTTAATCAGTGTAGATAAGCTCAGTACGTGGACTTTAATGTTGGAAATGTTACTCTGTAAATTGCTGAAATAAATGCAGTTATCTGAAATGAGTCAGTACAGTGAAAATATAATTGAATTTCTGAAAGTTGGGAGACACTTTCTATTAATAAAATAAAGAAATACTAAATGTAATTTATTTGCAAATGGAGAAATATTTAACACATTCAGGGAGAAATTGTGATTCTTATAGCAGGATCAGCATAACAAATTCCTTTTGGATTTAACTAGCTATGTAATACAAAAGCTCTAATATTTTTTAGTTTATAGAAAAATCATACAAGACTCATTCTGATTGTAGAAGACTGGTAAAAGCACACTCTGAAGGATAAGGTTAAGAACCCTGTTACATATGTGCCTATGCTTAACAGTTTTGAAGTTTCTTCAGCCTCCTGCCTTTGAGAGATTTTAAAGACGTTGTGAAGTTACTTGTTCAGTTCTAATTGACTAGTGGCATGGAATCACTTCATTGCTTGCTAACTCTTGACAAAATTAATCTCAGTTGCAGAGAGCAGAGAGTAAATGGAATATGCCTGCATATTCAAGAAGAGTATTGAGGGGTTGGGCTGTTACTCAAATGTTACCCTTCCATAGCAGCCAAAGCAGCAGCCCCAACTTCTATTTTAACCCACTTTAAATGATGTGAAATAGATTGGCTTTTATAATGAAAGTGTTGGACAACTGTAATTGGCAATACTAACTTACTAGTCAAGACAGGCCTACAACCCTGCTCCTGAATATTTTTTTTGTGACTGCTAGGTCATGATTTTGGATCCAGCTGATCTGGTTGCTGCCTGCTTCTGGCCTATGAAGTGTTGGCAGAAAAAGCAGCTGTGATGTTCCGCAATGCTGAGGGCTCATGTTTATGTTGCACCTCTTTTCCCTTCTCCATGACCTACTTGTAGTCAGACACTTCTGTACTGAATTAGCATTTTAGGGCCTGCCTAGGAAGTGCATCTACCAGTGTAGGTGATATAGCTTCCATAAAAAGTTTTTTTTTCCAGGATATTGGGGAAACACAAGTCTTTAACCTGTGGTGTTTGCAGATTAGTGTCCTTAGCTAAATGTGTTACAACCTCTAAGTTCAGTGAGTTGGAAGAG